CACAGCGCCCCCTACCGGGGGGAACGAAAGCCGCCTCGCGTGCGACGGGGAGCCGCAGCGCCGTCTGTATGTGCTGCGGCCGGACTGACTGCGGCCGCCTCACGGCGCCTTCCTGCTGTCGCCGGTCACTGCCCCTCAGTCAGCGCCATTCCCTCCATCTCTGTTACAGCAGGAGACATGCACAGCTCCACACAGCTACAAACACGTGGAGATGTTTCCTGGTACCACTTGAGGAGCCCACAGCCACACACTCCCCCCACCATCCCCATCTTCCCAGTCCCCAGTCCTGCCCTGTGCTGCTGCTCTGCAATAAACAGCAACCCAACACACAGCATCTCCACGTCTGTGCATTCTGTGGAACTCTACAGATGTGACAACAGGGTCTGGCTTCTGGGGTGCTTCTCAAAGGAACCAATGCACAGTGTCAGGAGTGGAGGAGGAAGCAGTTGATCCTGCCACTGATGCTGCCATTGCACGTCCCTCCCCAGGACTCCCACACCTTCCTCTCCCCAGCCCAGCTCACCTCCTCACAGGCTGCAGACACTGCTGAGGCACTCACGCTCCACGGCTGTCATCTTCTTCTCGTGTTGCCATACCACTCTCTGCAGGGCTGCGCTGAGTTCCTGCTGCTGCAGCCAGAACTGCTGCTCCTGTGCAGTTCCTGTGCAGATGGATGGAAGAGTTTTGAGGCACCTACAACACATGGTGCCCAGGCTGACGGTGGCACAGCAGGATGCTCCCCTCCCTGTCTGCCATTGCCCTGGGATCTGGAGAGGCTGATCGATGGCTGATGCCAACGGCACGAGGTTCAACAACACCACATGCCGGGTCCCGCACTTTGATCACAACAACCGCAGGCATCGCTGCAGGCTTGGGGCAGAGCGGCTGGAAGGCTGCGTAGAGGAAAAGGATCTGGAGCTGTGGATCGACGCTCGGCTTAACGTGAGCCAGCAGCCCGCTCGTACCGGCAGCAGCGTAGCCAGCAACAGGAGGTGATCGCCCCGCGCTCAGCCCCCCCCTGCATAGCGCTGGCCGCGTGCCGGCAGTTCGCCCTAGGCGGAAGTGCGGCCGTCGGCGCCCATCGAGGAGCCCGAGAAGGCGATCCGCGTGGAGCTGAACTACCTGAACTACCGCGATCGCCGCCAGCAGCAGGACGTCAAGGTGCCCGCGGAGCCGCCGATCTTCAGCGAGTTCCCCAGCGCCATCGCCGGGCCGCGTCGCCCGCCCGGACGCCCCGCTCCCCCGCCTGCGGGCAGCTGCCAGCCAGTGCTCGCCTTTCTCCAGGAAGGTCCTCACGGAGCGGGACGGCGTGGGCTATCCCCCACGTCCCCACCCTCCTCTTCCTCCTCCCGCAGCCCCAGCTGGGGCTGGGCGCGCCGGGGCCCCGGAAGCGGAACGGCGCGCGGAGCGGGGCGGCGCTGCAGGCAGCCGGGGCGGGGACGCGCGCGGTGATGACGCAATGACTGCGCGATCGCGGACGGAAAGGACCTCCCACGGAGTGCCCGCCCCATCCGGCGGGCCGACCAATGGTAGCGCGGCGAAGGCGGGGCCGAGCGCGGACACTCTGCCAATGGCGGCCGCGGAGCCGCGGGGCTCCGTGCGGGGAGGGCGGTGCTTCGCCGCCCTGCCGCCGCCCGCCCCGTGGCTTGGGGGTACCGGGCGGTCAGGGGAAGGCGGCGCGGGGCTGCGAGAAGCGGCTGCTGACCGCGATCCGCGGGACCCGCCCGGTGTCCGGGAGCGGCTCCCGGATGAGCCGGGCAGCCCCGAAAGAGAGGGAGCGATCGCACGGATCGAGACGCGTTGCAGCCTAGCACGGAGTCAGCAAGAGCTTTCGGTTCTCGCTCGGCTCGAATCAGCAGCGCTGTGCTGAGCTGCTGCCCCGCAGCCGCAGTTCCTAAGTGCCGTTTTCCATCTCTCTCAGTCCCCTTGCGGAGCTCCCGGAGCTGCGTGAAGCCGACGTGGAGCCGATTCGTGTTGGCCCCGAGGAGGGAAGCCGTGAAGGGGGAACGATTGTTAGTGTGGGAACTGGTTGGGAATACGGTCATTTCTCTGTTTATTGCTCTGTATGTTAAATGATTAAATGCTTAGCGTTCGTTTTTCAGCACTTCTGCCTGCGGTCATTTCTGCAGCTCCAATAAGCCCCCATCCCCGTGTCCACCTGTCGCCTTTGTTTCGGCGATCCTGACTGAAGTCCCCTTGTGAAAGTGTTCCAACAGCCCCGGTCAGTTTCGCACGCTTTTCATGACACCAATATGGTGAGCGGCAAAATGGCATTAATTGCAAGGAGCACACCCTTCTTAAAGCTTTTCCCACGCCTTAGGGCTACTACAGTTATTTCTGACCAATGGACATGTGGCATGTCTTGTTTCCTCCTTATTTGGTCTAACCTGTTCTTCTCTCTTATCTTCAAGACATTTGTTGCCATGGTTTCCCAAGGGCCAAGGGGCCCCTGTGGACCCTGGCGACTGCCGCAGCCCATTCAGTTGACTACATCCACCTCAATGTAAGGACAGGACAGCACAAATGGCTGTCATAAGACTGCAACTAGCAGCCCCATTCCTCCTCCCGAATCCCCTCCCCTCCTCAGTACTGCATGCGAAATGGTTGGGGTGGGATTCTGGGAGAGCTGGGGTGGCTCAGCCTTCACACAAGGAGGCTTGGGGGGATCCCGGTCATGGCCATCAGTCCCTGCAGGGAGGTGCAGAGAGGATGGAGCCAGGCAGCCATCCAATTTTTCGTTTGCAAGATTGGGTGTTGTATTTGGATTTCTATCCAATTAGTAATCCAAAATCCAAAAAGTTATTTTTATTTCTTTTATCCTCCTACAATCTTGTATCCTCAAAGGGCATCGCTTTACCCTGGTTGGGCTGGCTCCCATCTTTAACTTAACTTTCATTGGGCTGCATTTTTGGCTTTGCCAGGTATCCCTGATGCCTGCAATCCTGTGTATACCCAATGTAGGATTTACGTAACTTCTGGGAGTACAACATTGCTTTTCCCAGTTTGTGTTAAAGCCAGACTTAAAATTTGCAGTCCATTAGTCTTACTTGACAAGTAGCTCCAATTGTCTCTACTCAATTTAATCTCTACGTTCAACTATTCTAACATGTCATGCCCAAATAATGGTTTTGGAGAACCTGGCATGTACAAGAATTTATATATTCCTACTTGTTCTCCTAGCCTGTATTTAATTGGTCCAAAAAAAAGTAAACTTCTCTTGCCAGTAGCTGCTACAGCTATTACAAAAATCATCTACGGGTAATAGTTCTTGATGTAGCACAGAGTAAGAGGCACCCAGAGGTACCAGAAAATAAACCTCTTTACCCTGCTTCCCCTGCTGCTTTCGGTCCTGGTGGGGTGGAACTGAGTCCTTCCAGGCTTCCCTTACCTCTTCTTCTAGGTAAGGACATCCCTGTTAACCTTGCTCAACTTTGCCTTCCTCAGTTTGTTTTTCCCAAACCCTTTTCACTTTCCAAGCTCTCATCATCACAGACATTACGAACATTATATTTCAATTTCACCCCCTTCTCTCCCCAGGCTTCCAGTGCTCACACTGGATATCTGGTTTCCCCAGCTCTGCAGATGACGGCTATTCTCCGTCCCATCCCCATTCACAAGCACTGCACCCTTCACATCACAGTGGGAGGCTCCAGCCCCCAGCTCTTTCTCCCACTCCAAGTTGTTCTTACAAGCCGCAGTGGGGGGGTGTGCGGGGATGTGTTCTCGTGCCAGCCCAACTCTAATATCCCAAACTCACTGCTTTCCTTAACCTTTTTGCCATTATTTTTGTTTGTTTGTTTTTCCACAATTCCACTATTTGTACCCTCAACTGCAATTCCACATACCATTAACAACTGCAATTCCACATACCATTAACAACTGCATTTCCACATAATTTCCACATACCATTAAAATTGCATTTCT